TTGTCTTTTGAGAACGGGGGATGCCGTAATGGGGTTTTGGCCTCTCGCGTCCATGGTTTATCTTGGACGAGTCTACACTCTGGGTTTCTTCTTTGGGCCATGTCGCTCCTTGGTTGAGCTTGTCATTACGCTATGTTCCCTTCGTGAGTGGAATTGCGCATGACGTTTGCTTTTTCGTGGAGGGGTGGCATGTGCCGGAGCATCCATCAAGCAACCCCCCCGGCTCAATTTGTCCTGCCTGAAGGTCCTGAAGCTCTTTGTCAGAAAATGGATCAGACAGTTTGGTTTTGACTCTGACTCAGCAAGGCATTCAGAAAACGAGCGGCAGTGGACAGAAAACAACAGAAGCCCGAAACCATGCGCGTCCTGTCAGGCCCATTAAGTTTTGTCGCTTGCTTATACTTCAATCAGTACCAGTTCCAAAAGGACACAGTATGATATGATTTGTTTTAGAGGTTGAGAGTGTGAGCTTCATTTTTCCATTCGATTCGCCACCAAGCAGCTCGATGCCCAGTGCGCGACAAGTAGAAGTGTTGAGATGTTGGCCCGTTTGAGCGAGGGCACGGCACGAAGTCCGCGTGCCCTTGCCGTAGATAATTGAGCAGTGCCCAAAACGTTTGACAAGACCCAGACGCTAGACATGAATTTTATTGCATGCACTTGTTTAACTCTCTTAGCACAGCAACATGATCATAGTAATGCACACCAACTGTGAAGTGGTTGTAGGCATTGCTCATGTGCGGGCGCCATAGTGCAACATGCTTGGCTGGGAGCCAACAGCCCTGGACGGCCCGCTGGAATTGTTCAGCGGCAACTTGTTTGCAATCCGAACTTGATAGATTGATCATCAATAACTTGTCATTCGAACTGTTTCAAGCTTGAATCATTCTTTGTGCAGGAGTTTGTGCACTGTGGCAACTGTTTGTCAGGGAAAGCATGCCGAAACCAAATGTCATTATTTGTTTCATGGCAGAAGCTAGGGCCAACAGCGATGACCGTTTACTGTTGAAGAACGGTGTACTGGAAATATCAGCTTCTCTTGGCCAGGATCCCTCTACAACCAACCAGAGGCGGAGCTTCGGCGATGCTCCAAGAGTTTCAGCCGTTGGTGGAAGGCGCACAGTGCCGCCTGTCGGCCTCCGAACCCCCCCTCCGTGGCGCAGTAACTTCAAATGTTCCCAGAAACGCTCACTGTCACCTATTTTGTCGACCCCCCCAATGACAATACCGCCTATACGCAGAGCAGCAAAGCATAGGCTGAGCTGAAACTGCATATCATCACTCAGATCCCAGACTCAACTATTGAAGCGCAACATCGAGCGAACGGAGAACGTTTCAATCAGAAGGTTCGGAGGTCTCTCTTTTTTTACCATCCCGGATGCGATAGATGCGTCGCCCTCACATTTGAATCCCTGGCAGCAAAGCTGCCGTGCCGGCGATCCGAAAGATTGCAACAGGATGGAGGGGCGGGCAGGAAGACAATGACCCATGGGTAAATTGATCCATGGTTTGACATGTTAAACCCGTTGGGTTTCCCTTTTAGCCAAGCAAAGACTGGGCATTCCAAGCGCGGTCAGTGCAGACTAGGGAAGGCCACTTGGACCGTCTCTCCCACCAGCACCTCACAGAGAGTTTTTGTTAGAGGAAACTGATCTTCTCAGGTACCCTGCAGGTGCTATGTGGGAGGAACTTTTGGGCAAGCCCGACATGCGCTGAGTAAGAAGTACACGGTCACTGTGTGCAGACCCATGACCATCTAGCTGAGCCTTGCCCTATGTTCCGCTGAGGCTGGAAGCTAGGGAAGACAGGAATGGCCGGTCGACGTGTTTGGAATCGGGATGTGAGATAAGGGCCCCCGACAGTTGGTTCTTTTCTAGGTGCCGCTCGTTCATTCTCCATGTCACTGATGTGGCGTGGATTCCCCCTATCTCGACATCTTGGTGCGGGCGGTGTCCCTTTAAAATCAAGCAACCGAAAGGGCAAGCTTTGCAATGCAGCCCACGGGACAAAGGAGCTATTGAAATTTATTGAAAACTGGACCCTGAGAGGGGGCGAAGAGATGAGTTGGCAGGACTCGATGGGGCCAAGAGATGAGTTTGAGTTGGCAGGCTTAAATCGGCCCGTTCAACTGGCTGATACATTCATGACCTCCCCCAAACAGAAGCGCACAGAGATAAGTGACGATTGTGTGCTTGCTCACTTTCGCGCATCCAATGTTTAGCAACCACCTCAGGTTTGCTTTACACATCCAGTATTTACCTACCACTTCTGGTCCTTTCTCCCCAGACTTGTAACTTGAAGCATGGCAAGTGAGTGAGGCTGCCCGCGGCCAGCCGGGTGCCGGCTTCTTCCTGGAGGCAGGGAGCCTCGCTTTGGGAGATTCTTAGGTTCCATAGAGAAGCGTGGGGGCAACCCCCGTGGGTTCGAGGGGAAACCAATTTGAGCTAGTTTGGTGCACCAACGTCAAGTCTCCGGATCCCCCCTCCAAAAAAAAGAATGGGTTCGAGTCAGGGATATCGATGTGAACATTTGGGCCCAGAGGTGAGTTTTGAGGAAATATGGGGAGCCCCTGGGCCCTTCAAAAGCGCCATCAGCAGAATCATGATCACGACCTCCATGCATCCACATTTGGCTGATGACACTTGGTTCTGAGTTGCTGGACAACCTCACGTGAACGGTTAACGATGACATTTGGGTTCTTCTCACAGGGGGGTCCCGGGTCCCTGGGAGAAGCGGTCAGAAAACAAGGATCATCGCTTCGAAAAGGAGCAAAGATTGTTGTTTGACACCCGTCCCCCATGAAGGGGGAGCTCTTTTGGGACCTTTTCTGGCGTCGTTGTGTACTGCCTTCTTTAGTGAGGGGACAGACCAAAAAGGGAACGCCAATTGTCATCCCCCCGACTTTTGTTTAGCGCCGTGTGCTTAACCCAGTGCCAACAAATCGCAGATGTGTGTTCCTTTTGTTTCACCCGAAGGACAATACCAGGAACGTATTATGAATATATATATATATATATATATTATACATACACATACGTACATAGTTATGTGTTACATTTTCGCTCGTTTGATCATTCCTTGGTTTTTCTTGTGTGAGTTTCCCTTTGAGATGGTTCAAGGCATCCTTGTGACAGTCCTTGTGTTCACTCCGCAGGGCAAGCCTGGGAGCTCGACAGCGGATAGTGGGAAGCCCAGCAAAGGGGGTGTCGAAGGGAGACCCCAGAAACGGAGTCGTTTTTTTCTTTTTTTCCCCCGATTGGTTTGCTTTCAATCTATGGAAAGGATGCCCCTGAAAACACGCACCAACACCATTTGAGGGGGTTTCAAATTGGGAACTGTTTAGTAGAGCTCCTTTGAGAACTGCTACTGACAAATTTGAACACATCAGCTCTCCTGAAAACAGCCGCGTATGCACAATTGCATGACTTGTTTACACCTTGTGCCCATTAAGCACGCACAGTAGCAAGCCGAACAGCAGCATGGACATGGACAAATGCAGGTACAAAAGCCTGGTTGGGTGAGCTCTGAACTAGGGAACTCCATGTTAGATAGTGTCAGAGGTCGCCAACCACCTGGAGGGGTTCCGGGGACATTTCGGGTTTCTCCTGTTGATGTTCAGTGGAGTAGTGTCACACTGTCCAAACAGGGAAAGTTTAGCCTTGCGCATGGGCGGCGCGTGAAGTCGTAGATGTTGTTTTTGTTCTTGAAAGGCGGGTGCGGGGCGCTGGGACCTTTCGCTGTTGCACGCGACATGCCAACAGCATGTGTGACTCATGAACCCGCATGGAAAGGTTCGTGGGTGCCAAGTGTGCAAAGCAACAGGAATGTGGTTATGCATGTTTATGCCCTTGAATCAGGGCGCGCCAGGCATGCAAGGCGTGCGAGGCGTGGAAGGCGTGCAAGGCGTGACGCTTCCATTCCAGCGTTGTTTGTGGTGACGCTGAATATCTTCTCAGAACGGAACTGGCGCACTCAAGGAATGGTGTCACCACTTTACGCGACTTTGATCGTTTTGTCATCGGGGGTGCCTTGAACAATTATGCTAGGGTACCACGTCTCCATACGTCTCGCTTTGCATTTTCTTTTGGGGGGGAATCAGTTGACCTCAGGAATATGTGTTGATATGCTTTGAAGTTGAGGATGTTCCAGGGGTTGGCTGCACATTGGAATAATTTGCGGGGCAGGAAGGACCCGAGAAATATTTTTTGTGGACATAGTCCGTGAGTTGTTTGCTTGGTTCAATATTATTTTTCATTATTTGTGACATATGGCTTGTATCCGTGGAGTGCGGTCAGGATGCCCAGGAAGAATCAACACATTCCAGTACTGGACCAACGTGGGGTGTGGGATTTAGGGTATTTTAGGGTCCTAGGGTCCTAGGAGTGATGCTTTGTCAAGCAGTGTCGGAATGCAGCTCGTTGGCACCGCCGGATTCTCGGCATACCTGGTTCTTCGCGCATGTTGGCCCGTTGTCATGTTGGCAGGTTGAGCTGGGCGTTGGTTCCCGTTTTCCTGGGGTGCGCGAAGGATTCACCTGCAGAATGCGAGCAGATGTATACTGTGCGCTGATTAATTTGCAGGCGCGGGCTCGAATTGATCCTTTCCTGGTTCACCGGTAGAGGTCCAGCATCAAGTATCAGAATATCGCAGCGCAGGGTCGAAACGTGGAGCCGCTTCCCTTGATCTAACATTCGAAGGAGAGCTGTGGGCGTGCTACACAAAAGGCCCAGCGCTGTTAAAAGGCCTTTCTCAAAGACTCGAAGCATGCAATATGTTGTGCGAGTCAACAACATGTCATGTTAGACATGCACGCGCGCCCAAAGACAGCGACTTCCTGGCATTCATCCAGCATTCATCCCAGGATTGTCAAGGCGCCCTCAAACGAACCAAGCTCTCCATCCCAACGGGCAAATAGCAGTTGCTTATCTCGCAATTGTTTGTTGTGTAGACAGTAAGGGAAATTGCGACAAGTCAATCTTTCAGCAAAGTCGCTTTGCTCTTTGGTTGCGGCGGAGCAGCATGTAGTGATGCTAAACAACTCGGCCGAGCCGCGCTGCGGTCGGATTTGCGGCTATGGAAGGCCCGTGCACCGGGCCGGGGGATGGGTTAGAGGGTGGTGCACGCGGATGTTTCCATATCGGAAGCATTTGTTATTTGCATTTTCCTTTTTGCAGATGGAGAACTGCGGGTTGAACAAATTAGGCCACTAGAAGTGACTTGAATTTATGTCTATTTGGTTTAATGCTGCTTTAATTTTGATGTTTGAATTTGCAAGATGACAGAGAAGGGCCCCCTTTGTGCGATTGATGCGGGGCTACTGTCTAAACACACACACACACACAAACTAGCTTCGCACGCAGCTATTAACCAGTTTGCTGATGCAGGAGCTGCAGTTTGAAGGAATTGAACCACTGGAAATGAACACAATTGAGTGTCCACTGATTTTGTTTTTGTTATGTTTGTTGTTTGTTGTTGTTGTTGTTGTTGTTGTTGTTGTTGTTTTTGTTCACCGACGTTTTTCCACAACCCAAATGCAAACAACTGTGTTATACGCGGATTCCTTTGAGGGCGGTGCAAGCTTTGTGGCGCGTCGACCAATCCCAGGTGGAAATTCGCCGACTTGGCTAGTGGAAGTCAAGGGCCACCACTTGAGGAAGCATTTTCCCTTCCTTTTAAACATGAACATCGTCTTACCTTTTTTTTCCGGTGCAAAGATGTGGGTATGGGTCAAACTTAGACCACCAGGGGACCGCAGGTTTTGGTCCTGAGGTATGATGCACGTCCAGTGATGCCTTCCTCTCTGTTTGCTAGAAGCCAAACGGGTTCCTCGTGCTGTTGATCTCTAGGTGAGAGTCTTTGGCTAGGACATGCTGAAGGGAAGCATACGCCGCTTGCAGGGCATTCAGAACACGCTGAAAGGAGTCTCTGCTGTTTGTCTGCTTGCCTGCCTGCCTGCCCTCCGGCTTGCTTACTTGCGTGCTTAGTTTCCGCATCTTTCCTCTTGGAGAACAAAACGCCGCTGTGGACAATACTGATCAAAGCCATGTCTTGTCACTCCGTGATACTTCTTGTCTCGCACTAGTCAGGAGGGTAATGCCAAGGAGAGTAAACAACGTCAGTCCGCAGAACTTCATAGAACTCTTGCCCCCTTCGCACAACCTTTCTTCCCTTCGCACAACCTTCTTGGAGCTCGTGTAAATCTTCCTTTGCAAGCCCTGGGGCCTTCGCGAAAGGCCCGCCTTTGTCTCAGCCCACCCTCCGGAGCCCCAAAACTTGGCTCATGTCAAATGGGCTCCCCATGGGAACTCGTGAGTCTGGAACCTTTGCGCCAGGCTTTGTGGAGGAAAGCGGCTGGCCGTGCGTTGACAAGCTGTGCCCTTAGCGACTTCGGTGCAGCCGCAAGGGGTCAGTGCTGCAATACTCCTTCAAACTCAATGAAACAAGACTGCAAAGGGCTCTAGAAAAACTATGGACAGGAGGACACAGAAAGTTTATAATCGAATGTTTTTTCGCACGGATGTTGAGGAGACAGGTATTTGGGTTCAGTGCCTGTGGTAGCCACTGGCATTTTCTCAAGCACCTAGGCAAGCAAGGCGCGTGGAGTGCGTCTCCGAGTTTATGGACTTTGTGTGCATCTTGGCCGAACTCCTGACAACTTTGTGGTTCGGAGCTTGGTACCCTAGGTCCCCCAGTAGTGCCCTTTTACCTTTCTTTTGGGTTTTTGGGTTCCCCTACTAAAATAGACTACAGTAAAAAAGTCGGGTACCCTTATTCTAACCTCGCAAAACTGGAGGACCTGGTACCATGTTACTTTTTCGTTTGGACCGTTCGTCGACCTTTCGACCGTTCGGCATTCCATATTCCGAATTCCTGAGACGCAGATATTCCAATCACGCTCCTTCCGGAAATTTCAAAAAGGAATCGTGGCAGATTTGGGCCCAGTGCTTTATGTACTCTCTTCATAAATCAGAGTTTACCAGACTTCCCCCCCCAAAAAAAAGAATGTAATTTGAATCAGAGTTCACTGGACCTTCATTGGGCTTGGATTTTCATGTTTGAATCTCATTGAAGATTATTTAGACCATTTGAACACATTGGAATGCTACAGGAACATCACTGGAGTGGCAACTCCACCATGCCCTCCGCTGTGTTTCAGCAAGACATGGTTCATGGAGAACCCTGCAAGTTTAGTTGGAACAGCGTTGGGGTGGTTGATGTGAGCCCTTCACCCTGATCCGGCATGGCGTAAAACTCTTCGGACAAATCTAAAGGGGCAGTGATCAATTGGAAAACATAAGACTTCGCCTTCTGCGTGAGCTTCAGGGTATTCAAGCCGGCGTTTGTGCGCGGGTCCGCAAGTCTTGGGTGTTCCCCTTGAAGTTGTTACTGCGACATGGACGCACGTCACCGAGTTTGATTTATGAGTGCTTCAGTTGTTCATGTTGTTATTTGTTTGTTGATGATTCATTTCTTTATTCAGTTAATTATCTATGTGTTTGTTGATTTATGTACTTACTTGTTGTTTGTTTCCTTGTTTATTTATTGTTTTGTTTATTTATTTACTTCCTCAGAAATAGCTCCCTTTGTGATATTTTGCTGTTTTAGGTCCCCGTTGTTTTCCACTAACCAGGCAACAGATATAGTTTTGTTGCTGGGCGTCCTAATTCCAGCCATTTGTTTAAGATGTTTTTTTTTGCTTGTATTTTGTTCATTGTCAATTTATGTATGTATTTAGTTGTTGTTTATTGATATTACTCATTTGCGGGCACGTTAGAGAAGTGTTTGCTCTGGCATGAGGTGGTTCAATATTCAGGTGAGGCTGGCTGTCAACGTTCATGTTGCAGCTTGTTCATTCTGACTGGCGGGCCTGAATAATCAAGGTGAATAACTTGCACCTGATAGAAGCGGTCGCTCACAGGGAATGCGAAGATTGTTTAAGAGAAATGTGCCCGGGTTGCTTCTGTTGGCAGGGTCACTTCGAGGCTCTGGGGATCACTCCAAGGGTCACATCTGCACCCTCAGCGATGGCAGCTCGGCAGATTGGCTGGCGATGATGGTCATATCCGAAGAATTAGCCAGTGCAACATCTTAGCCAACATGACATCCCAGCCCGCCGATTGCTTGATGGGTAGCGATTCGTTTCCTCAGTTCTCAGCTTTTCTGCGTGCTGTGTAGATTGTTGCTTAGCGAGTGACTCACGGTTCTCGGTGGCTGCAGTATGGTGAGAAGCGCTCGTTGAGCAACATGCGCGCAGCTTAGTCCAAGGTCCTTTCCGCCCAACATGTTGCACATCTTGTGGTTGGACGCTTTGTATGGCTGTGGGATGGATTGCTTTGCTATAAACTAATGGTTTCTTGTTGTTGATTGTATACAGATAATCCAACATGACATCGTTAAATTTTATGGGCCCCGATTTTTGCGACGTACTCAACTCGGACAAACAAGAACAGGCTACTTTATGGGGGATGCAAGGGGAGTGGGTACTGGGAGCTTTGGCTTCCTTCCGGAACCTTAGGCAGCCATCGGCAAGCTCCCCCTCTTGAACAATCGCTGCTTTGGAACGGGAACTAAGCATTCGTTGGGCTCTCCGATCTTAGAGATCCTTGTCAATGTTTTGGTGGGTGTGGTTTCATGGTTTGGCTCAGCTCTTCCCATGGAACCTCTAAACGACGTTCAAGTCAAGCATCTCGTGGGTTCGTTTCGGGTACGTGAGGCATCGCCAAGCTGAAGCTGGACGCCTCCATTCCGGCAACCCTGCTCCAGGCGTGGAACAAAACGAGACCCAGATGAGTGGGACCCCTGCGTGTGTTTGTAGGCCCCTTGGACAAGGGTTGTTCTTTTGGTTTCCCTTGAAAACAGCACAAAAAAGGACACCCTTAAAAAAGAAGACACCCACGTTAAGGTGACTCCAGTTGGTTTTGAGCGCTTTGTCCCGCATCAACCTTCTGCTTCGTTGTATGCGGTTTTTGCTTGGAAGCCACCTGGAGTCCACAATTGTTTGCAGCTGACGATTGGTTGCAGCTGCTGCTTTTGATATTTTGCACATCTGCATGTATGGCTTCAGCACATATCTCTTGGGGTACCTTCCCCATTCTTTCCAAGGATCCTTCTTTTCAGGAAACCATCAAAAACCCAGGGGAAACAGCCTGTTTTGGAAAAGAACGATGGTTGAACAGAATGGGGAATCAACCCCTAGAATATCTAAGGCAAAGGATGCCTCGAGGGTACCCAGCTTCACGAGGAGCGTGCCGCGGAGATCAAGGGTTCTTCTGCAGCCAGTGCCCACTGAACTAGCTACGCACGCGGGAATCTCAGTGCCGTTTTGGGAGATTGGGTTTCTGGACTGCAACAGTAAACCGGAAGAGGCATTTGAACTCTTGGACAATTCCATCAAGATTCAGTTTCTCTCATTGATAGTTTAGCTCGCTTCCTGAGTTCCTGGACTTTAAACTTTGGGCAGACCATTTTAATGGTAGATAAATGAGTTCAGACATGTTTTGCCAATCCGCTCTGGAAGCGAGTTCATTCAAGGGCTGCGGCTTGTTATGTTTCACCGAAAGAACAGTCTTGGTCTTCTCTTGCTGTAGATCACCACCCATCTAGAATGTAATAGTGTAGCTAGTTATATAGCTACAAGAAGTCCAAAGTCCAGCACGATGTCGTTGGTAAAATCCACCGACACGTGTGAGTTGTAGTCTTGCATTTCATTTGGTGCGTGCTGTTTGCTGCAGACCATGATAGTGGCTGTTCTGCCCTTGCGCTCCCTGTTGAACGTGGGTAGTGTTTAAGGACCAGGACTATTCCGACGCGGGCGAATGCCTGGAATGTTGCAGCATGTTTGTTTCAAGGCCGTCAAGCTTGAAGATACCTTGAGACCTAGTCATAAAACAAGAGGTGACTCAGTTGTTCAATGGCAGCCTTTTTCTTCTTTTTTTTGGTGGTTCCCTTTTTCCATGGTCACTGAACAACTGAGGTGAGAGTTGATCAAGGCATATAAAGGTGAGAGTTGATCCGCAAGGAATATGGGTGTGGGTCAAAATTAAGCCACCAAAAACCGCAGATTTGCGTCCTTGGTTCCATTTGCCAGGCTATGTTGGGTGCCCATTTTTTACCCACAGCCTCATGACCTGGGCCGAACGGGATCTTGATTGACATCCATCGGGCGCCCTTCTGGGTGTGAATCTGCACAGCAAAAGCAAGCCACTCGCAGGGTGGTTGGGAAACATTAAACAAAAAATGCTTATTGTGGTTTAGTGGGGAACCCCCACTTAGCTGCTAAAGTTTAACTTGTTGCTCCACTTCCAACGTCAACCAAGCTCATTTTGTGGGGTTCCCCGATGTTGAGAGAAGCCGAAGGGCTGTCCAAGGTGCCACGCCCCATGGTGGCCCAATTGGGGAAGCCCCAAAATGACGATGGTTTCCCGCTTGCTTCGCCAGGTCCATTCCCTACCTCCAAACCGTCACAACTCCATTTTCAGGCTACCTTCAAAAGTATCCAACAAGTCATATCCAGCAATCGAGCGATGCAACCGCAGGCGTGCAGAGGGAAGTCATCTTCAGTTGAAGCTGTCCTTGAAGCAATCCAGCAAGAAGGCGTGGGCCCCAAGGAAGTCTGGCCTGTCGCATGTTGTTTCACGGTTGCTCGCGGTTTTCCTGGGCCGCGCTTCGCAAGCTTACCCACCCAGGTGTTGGGTTTTCCCCAACAGCAGCTATGCAGTAGTATGCAGTCTTGGCCCGGACTTCAGACAACACAACGCTCCCAGCAGTACATTTACAAGGACTTCCCATTGGCTCGCCAAATTCGTCCAACACAAGTTGGGCCAGACCAAACATGAGAGGAGGGTCCTGGCACGCTTGGTTGATTTTTTGTTGGTTTCTCAAGTATATGTGTTGTTCAAGCATGGCAGACCCAAAGTACAATGCGCAAATGGGTGTGCAAACTTGATTTCTGCCAAAGCCGTTCACCACAGGCGCTACATTTGATTCTTTTACGTGAGGAAGGGGATAACAATTGAATGTGTGTGTGTGAGCTGGATGCACCTCTGTGTTTCTGTTGCTTTGTCGCAGGCCATCACCCATGTCCCAAAGCCAATTTTGGTGCTGGGAGTCGCTGTTTGAGCTTTCGATTGGGATCCATGACTGGATCTCACGGTTTTTTTTGATGAGGGTGCTGTTGTTGGTTTTAGCAACATCAAAGGGAAATCAACGGGTTTTTGGTTGTTGTTGTTGTTTTTGCCTTCAACTTTATGCGGTGCGCCCCAAAAAAGGCGAGCCACCCAGTTTCTTTCCTCAGACACCCGAGGCGGGCCCTGGACCGGCGAGCTCTTTTGGTGGCCGCCCAAACCTCGGCCAATAGCGGATCTTGAGTTCAGGGGCAGGTGTGTTCCACTAAGGGGCGTGTCTCAAAATGGACTTAAAAGGACAAAAGCGTGACGGATCTTTTGTGCGAGACCTTGGTTGGTTGTGTGTTTGCTGTTCATCTCGTTTTTTTTTTTTTTTGGGGGGGGGGCGAGTGGCCCTCAAGGATCTCACTGATCTCACTGGAGCTTCGGATAAAAGTATGACCATCCCAACACTGAACCTGCACCATGTTTTTGCTGGCGGGGGGAACACACAGATTTGAGCAAAGAAGTAAAGAAGTCCCATTTCGCGTCAAAGGATGTGTTTTGCATTGACACCTCTGATTTGCTCGCTGAAAAGCGCAACAACTCTTGTGTTTGTTGGTTTGCAAGCTTGCCTGTTTGTACCCCAACACATGAATCACGTTTGCTTGGAATCACCCGGCTTTCGACGACCCATGAAGTTCCTTACACCGGTAAAAGCGATTAGCATTTCTGTGCCTTCCTGACACCTGTTGTGAAGGGGATGACATGGCACACATGCCAAACAAGGCCAGCCAAGGGCCATCCCCACCCCCTAAAAAATGAAATTCGGGGGAGGGGAGTGAATCCTGGAGATCTCCATTTATGGTGTCATTTTCCCATTGTGGGGGATAGAAAATGGAGTTGGGTCCCGCAACCCGAATGGTAGGGGGAAGGGCCAACGGCGGCCACTGTCGCAAGCCCCGCTGAAGGCCTGGGGAGTCCCACCGCGAGGAGGTGTGCGGAGACGACTTGGGCACCTCGGGCGTGAGTCGGTGTGGAGAAAGGGATAGGGTCCAAAGAATTGCACACGTTTTTCCCAAAAAAGTATGGGAAAAGGCGTGTAACTCTTGGGCCCTACATATGATCATGACTCTAGTTTTTTTTGTTTTTTATGACTCCAGTTATTGCAGCGCTTGTACACTTATATTGGGTTCTTGGATGTATGCAAATCTTGTGGGCGAAATGCGGGGAAGTCCAGACTGTCGACCCTGGAATGCAAATCTTGTGGGCGAAATGCGGGGAAGTCCAGACTGTCGACCCTGGAATAAATGGACATGCAGCCCCAGTTATGTTTGGCGGCCAGTAGATTCGCGGCTCCTTGCTAGCTGGGCTGTTGTTTTGTGCTTACTTGACGAGGTGTATTATTGTGCGGGCTGACAAACCTGGTACTCCCTAGTTATGGGGCTTCCCCATCTGCTTTGTAATCTAACAGATAAAGGAGGGTTGGCAACGAGTGGTTCGCGACGAAAAGTACATAAAGGGTAGAGCTAAGGTACACACCAAAAGCTAGCCAAACCATAGAAAGGACGTCAGCAAGATATCATTGCTTTGTAGATGCGGGGTGATGCGGGTGAAGGTGTGGGTGCTTGGGATTCGCCTTCCGCACAGCATTTTGCGGTTTGGAAGTGCTGCAAACCTGCGTGGGAAAACTCAGGGCTGATCTCGTGAGACGCCACAAGCAAAACCACAGCGAAATCGGCTGAGATCTGCATGGCGCAAGTGTGCTGGTACCGGGTACCGGGCGAAAACTTGTCGCGAAAACTTGAATGAGAACAAAGCAACCCCAAAAATGGTCTTCCCATAAAGAGGAACATAAAAAATGCTACCACACAGGTGGCCGGGTACCACCGGGCAGCCTTGCACGAAGACTTGTCGCGACGCCCGCGTAAGTGGCTCTCTGGGCGCAGAGATGCTCGCAGATCAGTCTGGAATGGGTTGGCTTGCAGATCAGGCGCCTGCTTGGCTTGATTGAAACGCAGCTCGAGCACGGAGCAAGACAAGCCAAAAGAAATGAAACCGATGTGAAACACACCCAAAGGCTACGTTGACCCTCCCCTCCACTCCAAGTACGGGGAATGCCATTGGGCAGATAGTGTTTTCAGTTACACTGTATGCGGATTAGAGGAGCCATGTTTTGTTGTTCAATGCTGTCAACAGTATAGCTTACAGCATTCATATAGCATGGTTCCACGCAGAATCGCTCTGAAGCTGCTCGTGCCTCCCGGGCTTGATTGCGTTTGCCGATTGTAGCGCCACCATATCCGGCATGGCAGATTCTCATGGCAACTGGGTGCACACCCCGGACATGGAACCACACAACTAGTAGACGACATGAACATGCGTCAAAACTAGAAACCTTCCAACATCGTGGATGTTATTCTGCCCTACCTCTTTGATCATCCACATCGGTTAAGTTTGTTTTTTCAGACGTTCCCTTTGTTCACACGTTACATTGTATTTTGCTGAACCCTCTTGGAGTTTCTATTGTCACCCAACTAGTGGGCACCTGGTGTTCCTCTTTGGTGGCCACTCGGGAAGGAAAAAGGCATCACCTTGCCAGCAAGAACAACCCCGACTCAACCCAAATCAAATCGCTTGAAGTTAGAGACATCGCTGGCGTCCAACAAACTTTGCTTGCACGCGACTCTTGCATCTCACTTCCTGAGTTCATGAACTTTGAACTTTTGGGGAAGACCATTTTGGTGGTAAATATAAAGTTTGGACTTTTTTTGGGCCATCCACTCAGCCAGTGAGGCATCGATGCGCTTTCTGAGGTGACAAGCTTCTGAGATACCGCAGCTTGACTGCATAGCGTGCCCGGAATCAGTGGAAAGGACATGCGGGGCGGCCGCGCGTACAAATTACCTGCTTCACTGCGTGTCCAAGCGCTTCAGAGATTTTTAGTTTTGAATTGCTACAGGAACAAGCACTCTATCGGTATAGAACATCCCTTGACGTGTGTCCCTTTGTGCTCTAGATTGAACGTGCGCTTTTTGGTGTTCAGAGGTGCAATCCGATGATGTGTGTGTGTAAAGACCAAACACTTACTTGCCGTTTTCTCACGATGCCTTTGTGCAGGTCATGTTGATGGACACTATTGACGTGGGCCCCGGAGGGTCGTGTTTCTTGATCTTAGTTGAAGCACAGTCGCAACCGAAGCGCATTGACTTCATCTTGGGGCTTTCCGTGTTTGGTCTTCTAGTGCCACCAAAGGGGATCACATTTTGATTGTCTGGCTATTTTATGTAGACAAGGCTGGACCCCAACTAGAATGTTTCAACCTCCAGCAAGCCTGAGACAGGGTGGGTTGCTGCGAGGTGCGCTTTCTGTTTTCCGACATGCACCAACAAGAAAAGCGCTTGGAAGCCACAAGTGCTGTCTTTGAATCCCCCTGTCCCAAAGGCCGCCTTTCAGCGCGCCCTGTGCGACTGCCCTGAAGCTCCGCAATTTTTTGGGGGCTCCGGATTTTGAGAAATGGGTGCAGAGAGTCAGCTCCATGGCTTATTCCACTGGGCAAATTCATAAGAGATCTTTCCCCTTGCAATAAATGCTGCTGATGCCCTGTGACATGGAGCACCCCCTTCTTTCAACCAGGGTTTGTGACTTATCCTGGAATCCTGGCCCAGCTGTGGGAACCCAGGGTGGGCCAAGCCCTGCTTGATTTTGTTTTGGAGCTCAAACACACAAACATACTGTGGATGGACAAAATCCTGCACCACCTAAGAAGCGCTGGAATGAATGAGTCCCCTGTAAATACCAACAAACCATGACTTCCCATGGTTTCAAAGTGGTGCAGGATTTCGTCTATCCACAGTATGTATCATCTTTGTTTGTTGTTAGTATATGTACACCTACGCACCGGTCCGTCTCTAAATAGGTCTCCCCTTTTCGGCGGGAGCTGGGGAAACCAAATGGAATCCAACCGTTTTTGGTCGCCGCGTTTTGAGACAGACGGTGCAACCCTTAGGCCCCTTCTCCGAGCCTTGCTATGTCGCGGAGCTGCGAGGAGCTGAAAGGTGCGCAGGGAGCAAGTGGCCGGTTTGCGGCAGAGGCTTACGCTCTGCGCGAGTTAGATTTTGTAAGGTTTACAAGCTTCGCAAGGTGTACAACATGTGCAATGCCAGGTTTATAAGTTATAAGGTTGGGGAGATTGTCAACTGCTATTGTCCACCATAAAATGTGTTTTTGTCCCCCAGTGTCTTGGAGTGAATCGGAGAGATGCAGACATTTGCACACGCCAGCTGTCGGAAACGGATGGAGCTCAAGAGCGGTCGTTTGAAGTTGGCCGGACGGAAGAATGCGAAGCTGGTGCTTGTGGGAGCCATGCCCCTGGTTTCTTCCCCAGAATTAGCTCCCCTTTTTGCTTTTTTGCTTTTTTGGGGTCCCCTTTGTTTTCCACTCACCAGGCAAAAAATATATTTTGTTGCTGGAGTTTTAATTCCAGCCTAGGTTTCACAAAATTCGGCCCACTTTGCTGGTTGATGCTTAATGCTTTTCGTGGTGTCTTGGACTGAACATCCTAGCCCCGGGCGAGCGGGGCTCAGTGAAGATCATCAGCCGTTTTGCTGCTTTTGCTTATTCAGGAACAGCAAACTTGACCACAGGAGCACGCGTGCAGTTTGATCTGGCTTCTCATACTGGGCTCTAAAGATCTTGAAGATTCCTTTCCGAAGATGCCTTACCTGATTAGCTCTTTACAACCTAGCAAGTGACTCACCACGCGTTCAACCCATGGCAGACACAGGGACCCTTCTTACTGGTAGAGCGATGATCTTCCAGAACCCCTGTTCAGCTTCCATGTTAGTCTCTGGCATATCAATCGTTCTGAGCATTTGGGCACAACCAAACGTTACTCTAGTGATATATGCCAAAGGTTATCATGGTGTATGGCCTAGATTCATTGAAGCTGCAAAACACAACATGGTTGTGGAAAAATAGCGTTTCAGGGGCAAATGTCTGTGATACCAAGGACCAAGGGAATCCCCTGGAATGATCCAACGGAAAGGGGGCATTGTCCATAGGCATGACCAAACGGGAGGCCGATCTGCGGATCTGCGATCGCCAGGCTGCCGCGGGGGTCTCATGAACTCACCGACACCCTGACGAGCGTTGACGTCAAGGAGCCATTGGGGTGGGATTTTGGGTCTGTCCAGTTTTTGTTCAGCTTTCTTTTCCAGTACTGAAATTTGCTTGAACAACCAAGTTGATGGATGAGCACCCGGTGTTTTTTTTTTTTTTTCCCCGGAAGAGTCCATTTCTTTTGACCGGCCAATGGCAAGTTGCTGGGAAAGCGCCAGGGAAGGGGCGGTCAACAAAATCGCCTTCGCGCGACTAGTCCTCAGTGAGAAGCTGGCCTGAAGAAAGGCTAGCCTTCCCTCAGGTACCCTTTTCCCTTCTTCGGCTTTGTGTGTGGCAAACGCCGTGTTTCGCTGATGTGATGTGGGAGGCTAACCCAAGGCAACCTGACTGGAGCTTCCAAAGGTTTGTTGATATGAGTCCAGGCTAGCCCAGTCCTTCCCTCCCAGTTTTGAGAACGGCGGACACACATTCGTGCGTATGCATGTACGTTTGCAACATTTGCATGCACGCATACAACATGCATGTTGCATGTATGCATGCATGCCCCGTGGTGCAGCTCATGATTTCACACATGCACGTATCTGAATATATATATATATATACACAAACGCAACTGTGTTTGGGTATAATATATATATATATAGTATGTATATATATATACACACTGATATGTACACGTGTGTACATGCTATGCACACACATTCATGTTTATATGCATGTTGTGTTGGCCCAACCAACAGCAGGACTGATCTTCCAAGACTTGGAGAACCTCAGGACAGGAACATGGCCCAAATTTAGTAGATTTCTCAGGAACCTCCTTGTGCAATCCTGCCCAAGGTGCAAATTCTACACATTGTACATGTGTACGTGAAAACAAAGCACACGCAAAAACATAACTATAGTCGCACGACCATGTTTATCCCGTCAAAGCTCGGGCTGGCTTGGGAGTCGACACCATCTTAGATACATGTCGGTATGTGTCAAATTGGGGGACCCCAAAAATGGCATCACTGTTCCTTTTTGCAGGGTGGATCATGGATATGTGGGTCCCCCCCAAAAAAAGGGCACCCTCAAAACCACAGATGCCATGAACCCGTGGGTTTCTTGAAGGACTCAGGTCCCAGATTGCCTTTCTGGGACCGGGGCCATGGCTTCGTGGGCGCAGCCGGCTCTGGCCTGGGCCTGCACGTGGACCAGGTCTGGTCAAAAAGACGGGGTCCTTTACTTGGGGTCAGGGATGGTCCATACGGATCTTCAGAGCCACCATGTTCCTAAATTCAGAAACCAGCCCCTTTGGGATTTGCTTTCCAGCCTCAACCCACAATTGGAAATAACTATGATGGGCCATATAGGGAGTTTGGACCAGCCGCGTGGCCCAAACCCCTCCCAGCTGGAGCGTAGGTTTTCGACTTGGGCAGCAAAAAAGTACAGGGGACACGCAGGTCTCGCTGGGGATCCAGCTCTCAGCGAGAACATGTGTTACCATCAAGATGACGGACCGGCACAATGTATATGCAGGCGAGACGTGTCCTCCAGAGAAGGTCTGGCAAAGAGTGGGTGCAGGGGTGTGTAAATGGTGTTGGCGGAGCACGAGTGGAACCAAGCGGTTCCGGCCATCTTGGCCCTGCTTAGTTGTGAAACTGTGGCGTTTCGCTGGCCTTTGCTGATGAGGCCCTGGTTGTCATGGCGCAGCGCAAAGGGAGTGGATGGATCTTGCCGAAGTATGCAGCTTTTCCCCTAGTCATCGTTTGCAGAATCTCTGCGTAGCGTCGTAGGCATTCCTGTGTGGCTGAGTGGCACCCAGTGATGAATTTGCTATCTGTAGCAAACAGTTGGCCCGCACAGTTAGGTCACCATCTGTGTTTTGCATTTCGGCACCTTGTCATGCATGCAGCTCTGTCCGCAGATTCAGATTTCCCCTGCGACCAACGCCTACATGGCCTGCGTCGACCCCACAGGCAGCAAGAGTTTTGACTATGGCACATATGTCCATATACACAAGCTTACGTATATTTTCTAATTATGTATTTACGGTGGCACGTGATCAGGGAGAAGGTTGGTATTGAAGGGTCCTGCCAGCAACTGAATACACACATATACAATATATATATACATTGGTAAAGAAATGTTATATGTAACATACATAAATAAATAAATATATATATATATATGTACCTATACATCTATGGGTGTGGACATATTTAGATGTAGGGACAAAGGCTTGCCCAGAAACTCTATTGACCAAACCGTAAGGGCTTGGCAAGTCCTTTCGTTTTCATTCGCGGGCCTGACTTCTAGCCTTGTGACGATCGGGTCTTGGGAGCACCCCTGTCGGCAAGTGTTGCCCGAGATTCACACATTGCTTCAAGGTTCGGATTCTTGTTTCATGTGTTTTCTTTGGAGGGTGTCGACTAAGATACGTTTTTCAATCTCCCATTGCCCCCGGGTAATGCTTCATTGGAAGTCCGCTTGTGGAGTTCTATTTTCCTCCGGACTAGGTGGATCCCCCTTTGAGCTTTGCGGCAAACTTTAAGAATGTAGTTCGCACCTTTCAAAAGGCCAACAAGTTGCCACAGTTCCGGCATGTTCCAGCTGTTCCCCCAATCTTGTCAGCAATCCCTTTTTCCAAAGCAAGGCGGCAAAGAGAGGTTGCGTGCAAGGAGCGGGCATTTTCCTTCTGGGTCAACCCTGAGAATCGCCAAGAGCAGGCCTGGTGGAGCAACATCGCCAAGAACTTCTTGGGCTACAAGCTGGTGGCCATATGGGGCCCAGGCGGAACTGGCGGGACTGGCCGTGGCTCCAGGATGGCTTGGAGTTTTCAAGCAAGAGACAAAGGGTTGGGCTATGTGGCATTTGTAAGGTCATGGCCCCTGTGTTGAGCAGGGACTCGGTAGATTTTATTGCGCGTTGCTGATCGACATGAAACAATTACTCATAACCTCGTGTTTCGTTTCTGTCTCAGACGCCGTTTGCATGCACCCATGTATACAGATCTACACTATCCTTGTTGGTCCTTGTGGTGGCAATCTTCCCGCTTGAGTCATCAGCAGTGGCAAATCAAGCCGCAAGTTTGGGGTGTATGGTTCGTACATGGATGTACATAAATGTCTATACACACAAAGTTGACCTACCTCCTGGTTTTGTTTAACGGACAGCCTCCTTTGGCCAAATCTCCTCCAGGTTCTCCGGTCCTCGACACCTGCGGCGGGGAGCTTTTCCGGAAGCCTTTGAGCCGCTTGTCTTCGGAACGCGCTTCAACCTGCGGTGTGCAAAGGACGTGCGGCGTGCCCTTTTACAATTAAGGTTCCAATACCTTTGTATGCTTTACCATTTTTGGGCCCCCTAAAAAATGACACCGGGCTGCTGTTTGACTAAATCTGCACTTGGAGGGTTCCAAGCCCCAGACACCTTTCGCTCCTTTGTTTGGAGCGGGAAATCGCCCGTTTTGTTCCCTGACACTGGGGGTCTGACCTCTGTTCGAAGCGCTTGTGTTTTTTCTTTTATCAAGGTTTCGTGTTCAAAATGGGTTTTCTGCGGAGCCAAAGGGACAGCCATAGTTGATCGTGGGGGTCCTCAACTTCAATATATATATATATATACCCTGAACGTCGGAGGCCATTTCTGAAATGGCCTAGTACCCCTCGGCCATTTTAAGAAAATGCTCGGCCATTTGTGGGTCTTCACCAACGGCCTATTCAGGAAGTGTGCTACAGTGGGTTGGGGATGCCTTTTGAAGGTCTTGGCCAATAGCACTGAGAGCTTTTCAGCAAGGCAAACTACAGATATACAAACCCTGGGCGTCCTCGCCCATTTCTGAAAAGGCCTAGGTACCCTCGACCATTCTAAGGAAATGCTGGACCATTTTAGGCTCCTTACAAGCGTCTGTTTAAAATTCGTCGAACGGCATTTTCCGAAATGGCTGTTGTCCTGGCCCGGCAGCCAGGAGCCTTGTGTGTTATGTGAGCTTGGTGGGCATCATGATGTGTTTGAAAAGCCACCTTAACGCTCGCTCTTACGTGCGCGTGTTGGCGCAATCCGCGGCGTCTTGCAGCAGTCTCGGAGAAGCTGGAGCGTGGACAAAGCGTGGACAAAGCGTGGAAGAGCCATTTGTGGGCGTGGAAAAGCCATTTCTGGGAGTGGAACATCCATTTAGGGCAGTGGACAAACCGTGGACATCCCGCCGAATGCCACCTCAGACTGAAAAAAGCATGCAAGTTAAAGTGGCAGAGCTGAAGTCTACAGAGCTCAACCGCACGACCTTGTCAAAGACAAAAGACGGATCCAAACGAGCCTAGCTTCAACACGGGCTTGCGTCATGGCTGGACTACGGCTGCGGTAGCTTATTGGCTATCATCGAGCTCCACAAATGCTTGTCCAAAGCCACTGAAAACGCGTGTTCTTCTTTTTTAGGTCCTTCGACAAACAGCCAGTTCTCAAAAATATTTTGGAAATTCAGGGAGTCAAAATCTGACCTGGCTAACATGGGAATCCAGAAATGGCTTTTTGGAACCAGTGAAAACATGATTTTTGGCCACAAATGGCTCTTCGACAAACGGCCGTTTCTGAAAAGGCCTTTTGAAGTCCAGGGTATATATATATATATATATTTAACACACGCGCGCGCATCTCAGGCTGTGGCCAGCTGAAGAGTCTGGAAGCCGCGTCTTCTGTTGCGCTGCTGCGGCCGGGGGACGTGGCCTGCCTCAGCGGAGGCGCTTTGAGCCGAGGGACGGAGGGAGAAAAACACAGGAGGGAAACTAAAGGGAAACCATCCATTTTGTGGGGGAGGGGGCCTATTTTGACACACCCTGTTATGGTAAAGCAGGGGTCCCACTATGTATAAATAAACTAGAGGACGAGTGGCCCGGAAGCATGGAGGCAAGTTAGTTGTTAGCGATCAAGTAGTCTAGTCGCGACAAGCTGCACACAGACAGATTCCGCTTTTTGTCAGTAGCTCGAATATGGTACTAAAAGTTGAGGAATTTCATGCACTTCTCAGTGCAGGTTCTCCCTGCTCATCGCGATCTTGCCCACCATCATGTCGCGCGTGTAGATCGAGTGGCTCGGCATGTGGATCTCGATGATGCATACCATGCTTCGGGCGGCTCCAACATGAACAAACAGGCAGCAAGCAAACTACCGCGATGTTGATTAGCGCTAGCTTGAACCAACCACCAGGCGCGTGGTGCGGAAGGCGAGGCGGGGGAGAACCAACACCTGAGGCACCGTGGAGAAACCACCACCACCTGGGCGAAGCGAAACTGGAGCGAAGCTCCTGGACATGCAGGCAACTTACAAAGCGAGGTCTCAATGCAAATGCAGAAGTGTGGCACGGAGGTTGTTCAATCTGCTGATGTTGTCCGGCTTCACTCGGCTTCCCTTGGCTTCCCTCGGCTTCACTCAAGTGCAACAGCGCTCAATGAGCACACATGCTCAAGCGTGTCATGTAGGTTGTTCAATCTGCTGGTGTTGTCCGGCTTCACTCGGCTTCCCTTGGCTTCACTCGAGTGCAACAGCGTGCAGGCAGCACAAATGCTCAAGCGTGTCATGTAGGTTGTTCAATCTGCTGATGTTGTCCGGCTTCACTCGGCTTCCCTCGGGTTCACTCAAGTGCAACAGCGTGCAATGAGCACAAAAGCTCAAGCATGTCATGTAGGTTGTTCAATCTGCTGATGTTGTCCGGCTTCACTCGGCTTCCCTTGGCTTCCCTCGGCTTCACTCAAGTGCAACAGCGTTCAGTGAGCACAAATGCTCAAGCATGTCATGTAGGTTGTTCAATCTGCCGGTGTTGTCCGGCTTCCCTTGGCTTCCCTTGGCTTCACTCAAGTGCAACAGCGTGCAGGCAACACAACTGCTCAAGCTGCTGATGCGAGTTGTTCAATCTGCTGATGTTGTCCGGCTTCACTCGGCTTCCCTCGAAGAGCAAAACGTGGAGTCAGTGCAAGCGCTCAAGCATGTCACGCAGGTTGCTCAATCTGCTGATGTTGTCTGGCAGCAGCGAGGAAGATCGCAAAGCGCATGTTCAAAGATATGGCGGCTACATGCTGCGCGCGAAGCTGTGCGTGGCGCGGTGCGTGACGCTGCGCGCGGTGCTGCGCATGATGTGGCACATGATGCTGCGCGCGAGGCTGGTTCAATCTGCTGATGTTGTCCGGCTTCACTCGGCTTCCCTCGAAGAGCAAAACATGGAGACAGCGCAAGCGCTCAATCTGCTGATGTTGTCTGGCAGAGGAAGATCGCGAAACGCGTGTTGCAAGATGTGGCGGCTGCGTGCTGCGCGCGAAGCTGTGCGTGGCGCGGTGCGTGACGCTGCGCGCGATGCTGCGCATGCTGTGGCATATGATGCTGCGCGTGAGGCTGATGTTGTTCAATCTGCTGATGTTGTCCGGCTTCACTCGGCTTCCCTCGAAGAGCAAAACGTGGAGTCAGTGCAAGCGCTCAAGCGTGTCACGCAGGTTGCTCAATGTGCTGATGTTGTCTGGCAGCTTCTCTTACCAACTTTTCGAGAATTACTTCGCCTGTCGCCTATGTTGCTTCCGGGCCACTCGTCTGCATGCTGCGCGCCAAGGTGTGCGTGGCACGGTGCGTGACGCTGCGCGCGATGCTGCGCATGCTGTGGCATATGATGCTGCGCGTGAGGCTGCGCGTGGCGGACTTTGACTCGAGCGTGCGTCGCGCCGGAGTTTTCCGCCTGCGCACAAGCAAGAAGCAAAAGCCTAGAGCGCTCGTGACTCGCTCGCATTGTTGTTGCTCGTCGCGTGCGAGGCGGGTGTCACGCACTTGCAGACAGTCTGCCACTGAGACAACAGAGCTTCGAAAACATTCGCCTGCTCGTTGCACTCAGCAACAAGCCGTGCATCACTACCTGCGCGCTCAGTCTCTACTCACTCACGAGGTAATTATGCTGACCGGAGGAGTCACAAAGATCACGCTCGCCTCGCCAAGGTCGTCCTTGCAGTCGCCGAAGTCTAACCGCCAAGAAGTTCGACTTTGCTCCACCGCGTACAGAGCCCACAGCACGTATCTCCGATGACGCCATGGACGAAGGCCAGGGCGCTTCTCGAGCAAGAGATCAATTGCGCTCGCAGCAGAAAAGCCGTAGGCTACAATGAGCCACGCGCAGAGCGCGCCAGCGCTGCGGTTGATGCCGCCAAAGCAATGGAACAAGACTTGCATGTCTTTCTTTTCGCAGACGTGAAGTTTGGCCAACCTCCAAAGCTGGCAACAGAGGTGCTTCCAATGCGTGAAGCAGTCCAGAGCACACTGCCGGAGCTGGTCCGCGCTGTTGCGCGGCTGCTTTACAGTCCAGTCCTCTAGGTGTCCTTGGAGATGACGAGCGCCAAAGTCTGCGAAGTATTGGCGCCAATCCTGCGGAGCGCCCCGGACGGTCATCTCCCGGCCACAAAGGGTGACCACTACGTTGACGCGCACTGCGAGCCAGCTGTGGATGTCCGCCAAGGAGCAGGCAGCTTTGAGGCTTCCCAGCAACACATTCTGACTTGCGTTCTCGGAGTGCACGACGCAGGCATCCAGCGGCCAGGCTTCAATGCTCTTGAAGCTATAGTCGTGCTGCCACACTCGGCAGTCCAGGTCCGACCAGGCGCTGCGCTTTTTGAAGCAGCTGTCGACGGCTCGCTGGCGGTCCTCTATCCATTCCTCCAACCCGTCGCATGGCGCAGGCAAAGCGCAGTCCGACATGGTATCAAGCTGCGCCATAGTCTTGCACCAGAAGCTGCTGACGGCCCCTGCACAGCATCCAGTCCGCATGCGCTTCAGTTCTCGTGTGCCCTCGTGCTTTTTTCACAGCCGCCTGTCAACATGAAGTTAGCGCCCGGGATTCGCAAAGAGCACGCCTTCCTGGTCGCGTTTCAAATGGTGTGAGAAAAGACTCGAAGCTACTACTACTACTACTAGGTCTCCTTCCGAATTTCCCAGCGTCCGCTTTTGACCTTGGAGGGAGTTTGCGCCACGAGGGCGTCAGCCGGACGCTTCGTCGCCGTGGTCTGCGCGGAGTCAGCCTGCAGCTCCACGACCAGGGAGCGCTCAGCAGCAAGGTTGTCCACTTGGCCCTCGTCCTTGACACGAAACATGCGCTCCACGACCATGGTGACCTTACCCGCTTTGTCTTCGCGAGTCAGCGCTCCGAGAAGTAGCCGGGGAGTCCCGTCGGACATGCTGTACTGCAAGCACTGGGCAAAGCTGCACATGGCTTCCACGCAGAACTCTTCCTCTGCAACAGCCGCGTCGACAGGCACAACTTGGGCGTGCTGAATCAAGACGTGCTCGTCGCTCTGATCGCCAAATCGACGCAGCTCGCCTGCGTCCTTTGCACGTGCCAGGATGGTCACAAAGGCCGGGAAGATCACTGCGCCGTTGACCTTGATGCCCATGCCGGAGTAGGACACGTCAGTGTACACGCTGCTAACCGGATACACGGCCCCTTCTGGCCTCGACCCGGCAAGGCGCAGCACCTTTTTGATCATGGGGCGGCTATGAGCATCGTAGGCCTTTCCCAAGCACGGCTGCGCCGCCAGGACCTGGAACTGACACTCTGTCGTGCTCGAAGCCTTGCTATCGGAGTCTTGAGAGTCCTGTTGGGTCGTAGCAGCAGTAGAGTCTGTCGCAGGCCGATACTTGTTCATGCTGGAGCTGGTGGCCAAGCGAATGTCCAGCTGAGTTCGAAAGCACAGCCCCGCGGGCCCCTCTTTGTCAAGGATACGCAGCAGTGCCTGCTTATCTTCAGCAGCCGACAAGTCACACAGCGCAGCTTCGCCAACGAGAACACGCTCCAAGCAGCCCGTGTGGTCAGCAATGTCCAAAGTTGCAAGGACAGCCACCTCGTCATTCGGCGTGGAAGCGCAGCCCTCAGCCTTCTTCTTGCAGGCCTGTGTGCTTGCATCAATTTTGGTGCGGCAGTGCTTACAAGGTGTATAGCTGGGGCTGCCGTGCACGTTCGTCACCCAGATGCCATGCAGCACAACCTCCACAGCGGCCTCGTTTCGGTTTGTCAGCGCATGAGTTCTAGTCTAGCACTACAGGGCTGTCACCCAACTGCAGACAAGGGGCTCCAGGAGCTCGGTCCTGCATAGTCAAGGGGCAAGCAGCAACGGTCGCTGCGCAAGACACGTACTTCTCCGAGCCGTCCGTCTTCATTCGCAGCGCGCCGGCCTGCAGGCTCCACGGCGTGGAAATGGCGTGGCCCCTGTCGCAGTCGAGCTGCCGCAAGCGCTCGGCGCGCTCTCCCGCAACATCTGTGGTCAGGTGGCTGAAGCTGTGCCGGTCGGAGTCCAGGAAGTCCTCGCAAGAGCCTTCCACGGACCCATCGAGCTTCTTGTGCAAGAGGCAGTTGTCGATCTGAGCCAGCTGGCCTACCTTCATGTCTCTGGCCGCGCTCACCATCCGCGAGCCCCAGGCGCTGATGGCAATCTCTTCCTTCGATTCGTCTTTGAGCCAGAGCGTCGCCTTGGGCTTGGCAGTAGGAGCTATCTCTACGTGTGTGAGAAGTCCCACGATATCGGCTCGCACGGGTCCCTGACAGTGCGAAGTCAGTTCCCCGATGTTCGACTTGGCCACCGGGCACAAGGACTGCAGGGCCATGGCCGTAGGATGGGCCGCAGCCACCGGCATGACGAACACCTTGGCCTGCGCTGCCGAGCCGACAGTCGCCGAGTATCCAGCGAGCCACTTGGAATTCTGAACCACCAGCAAGCCGGCCACCATCGTGCAGCTGTGCGCCACGTATGGCTGCAATTTTTTTTGAACTTCTTGCTCGTTGTTGCCAGTGACTTCCAGGAAAAGGCCATTCTGCTTTTTGTCTACCATGCGCAGGATGGCCTTGCAGAAGGGTTTTTTCCCTGGGAAGGAAAGCATCTTCACTACGTGATAGACCGTCCTCAAGCAGACCTTCATTTGCTTGTGGTTGGCCTTGCTCACTCGATCGAGCGTGGTCTCCTGAAAGTTGTCAAGCGACATGCTGCGACGCTTCGGAAAAACACCGCCTACGTCTCCAGAGCCAGTCGCTGCACGAGCCCCAGTTCACGCAACGCACGTTCCAGAAGCAACCCCCATGCGAGAGCACTGCCATCACAAACTTCCGTCGATGGCTCCACGTTTGTGCAAGCAAGGCGCAACATTTTTGGCACCACGCCTCAAAAATGGTGGCTTTTAGCCTGGCTCAACTCTCCCCACGCCTGCAACAGAAAGTCTACTCGAGGGTCAGATGAAGCAAGCAGTCGACTCACGCAGGTCGGCGCAATGACCAACACGCACGCCCTCAACCACTGCGCTGCGCTATACTCTGAGGAACGTGCCGCCGCTCCATCCGCCTGGCAGCTTTCACGCATGACTGCCTACCAAGACCCAGGTGTAGCATGACTGACTGAGATGCATGTCCGCGCGGGCGGCAGCGCGGGCTGACTTGAATGCCTTGGCAGCACTAAGCAGACATGGCCAGGACACACGCCCTCAATCACTATGCTGCGCTATGCTCTGAGGCGCGCGCCGCCGCTTGATCTGCTTGATAACTTTCACGCACGACCGCCTAGCAAGACCCAGCTGTGGCATTCGCCCGACACGCTCGCCGAAACAACAAGGGGCAAGGGACGTGGCGGCAACGACGCACTCCCGCGGGGCTTTTTTTTTTGCAAGTTCCTGCTCGTGCGACAGCGCTTCGGAAACGCCCGCCCGCGCCGTCGCTGCTGCACTCGAACATGTCTCAATCCCAAGGCCATGCTCACAGGCTATGCCTTAAACTATGCCTTAAAAAAGAAGCACATCAAGGGTCCGCTGAGCGCGGCTGCCGCTTGTGCTTCCGCCGCCCAAGCCCTGGTCAGCGACGAGGGCACGTTAAGGGCCTTTGGCCGAGAGCCACGCTCACGGCGTGGCGGAAGTCGGACTCCTGCTCTATACCAACAGCCTCCATGCCCATGCATGCCGAGATCACATGCTTCGCCACTGCAAGTCCATCTGCGGTGAGAAGCGAGCACTGACGAAGTTGCTTCTGGGCCGACATTCCCGGCAACATCAAGCAGTCCCAGCAAGGCTCGCAGAGGCCGAGCTTTTCGTATTCGATCCTTCCAGGCTCGGTCTGCCACAATCGCTCGGTAGAGCCGCAGCCTGCGCAGTGTCTCTCCCGGACAGCTTCCGCCGTGCCGAGGCAGTCCTTGAGCTTATCCTGGTACATGCCGAGCAGAGGCTGCTTCAGCCAGAAAGCGGGCATCCGGGCAGTCTGGGTCTGTTGCCTAATGGAAACTGACTTTGTGCTGAGAGTGTAGCAAGCAGCACAGATACCATGACTCATTGAGACGCCTTTCCGTGCTACAGGAATTCAATGCTTTTCGGCATGTCTACGCAGCAGACATGACCAACATGCACGCCCTCAATCACTGCGCAACGCTGCACTCTGAGATGCGCGCCGCCGCTCCATCCACCTGAGACTTTTCACGCAAGACTGCCTAGCAAGACCCAGGTGTAGCATGACTGACTGAGATGCATGTCCGTGCGGGTGGCGGCACGTGCTGACTCGATTGCTTCTCGGCATGTCTACTGAGCAGACAACCAAGGCGCACGCCCTCAACATGCGCTACACTCTGAGGCGCGTGCCGCCGCTTCATCCGCCTGACAGCTTTCGCGCATGACTGCCTAGCAAGACTCAGCGATAGCGGTCACCCGGCGCACTTGCAGAAACAACTAAGAAAGATCAAGCTGCAACGACCGGCTCCCGAGAGGAGCTTCTTTTGTTTTTCGAAAGCTTCTGCTCATGCGACAGCGCTTCGGAAACATCCGCCCGCGCCGTCGCTTCTGTGCTAGACACGTCTCACTCCCAAGGCCGCGCCCCAATCATGTTGGACACTTTTCGGGCGTGTTGCTCGAGGGCCTCGGCCTGCATCTTGGCCCCCTCCCGCGCGGTCACAGGCCGTGCCTACAGAGAAAAGCATCCAGCTCGTCGTCGAGGACTGCACTGTTCGGCTTACTTACAGCCCATTCTCGGGCACTTTTGCCCGCGGACTTGCAAGCAACATTGAAGTCAGACTGGCTGGCCAAAAATTCTAGGCACGTAAGACATCGAGCGTGCGCCGCGTAGAGGAACAGGTACTCCCGCTTTCTCGCCTCGCTGACGCCTGCGTGCCTCTTAGAGAACTTCGGGCAGTGCGCGTTCTCAGGACACGGAGACGCGGCCCGCTTCCGTGACGGCCGGCAGGAGCTCCGGCTATCCGACGCGTACGCGCCGGCCACAGCATCTCCAGACCATTGGCTGGGCCCGTCAGCAGCGTCAAGATCCTCGGCGGCCCCTAGCATGTCGCGCCAGGCAAGGAAGA